TGCCCGCCGCGAGGCCCCGCCGCGCCTTTCCGGGGCGCAGACCCACCGCGGGCGTCGGAGCGCAGCGAGGTGCTCTGGGAATCGCGGGCGGCGCCGGCTGGCGGCGCGGTCCTCACTGGGGATCCCGGGGGCTGGGGCTTGACCCGGAGTTGCAGCGAGCCCCTCAGAGCGGCAGGTAAGAGACCGGGGAGCGGCGGAAGGAGGGGTCGCCTCAGTGACAGGGGCGTTCGCTTCCAATGCCTCGGCTCCAGGGAGAGGGGCGGGGGCGAGCAGGGAAGCAGCGGAACGGGCAGCGAAGTGCCTCCGGTGTCCAAGGTGTGGGGAAGGTTGGCTCCAGATGTGGCACTCAGGGTGGCTTCAGATGAGGCCGGGGACGGTCACTTCGGTGTCACCGAAGGTGTCATGGAATTTGGTACCGACAGAGTCTCTAGATGACGGGGACCCAGGATGAGATGCGAGGCAGATTGCTAAACGTGGCAGGCAATGTGGTGCAGAACGAGTTGCAAAATGTGCCCCCAGAATGCAGCATAAAAAGTAGTTGTGAAATGTGCCAGGTAAGGCGCAGGGTGGGTTGGCCTGTGTAGCATTGAAATTCATGGTAGAAGTGTTGTGTGCGATATTAACAATCCCTCTGGGAAAGGAGATGTAGTGTAAGAAAAGATTAATAAGGCTCATTGCTAGATATTTTATCACAGGAAATCGAGAGGAGCTATGATATGCTATTTTTTGAGATAGAGATAGTACGTACCCACGTGAAAGAAGAAAAAGCATATTGTGTCTGGTTGTGAGATGGGAAAGAAAAAATAAGGCTAAAATAATTCCAGGTTTTGCCGTCAGCTTGGAGAGAGCACTGATATAATTGTATCCTGTCTTTTATTTCAGTTGTGTAAAATGGGTTTCACAAAACATAAACAATGATAATAAACATTAGGGAGATTTGGTGTTTTGGGTGTCTTTCACTCTGTTCTCTGCTCCTCTCCTGGAAAAGAAAAACAATAAACAAAAAAACACCACATCTTGATCATAATTCTGAGTTCAAGATCATTAGGCAAAGGGATTTTTTTCCTGTGTGCCCCTGTCTTCATTTTCACACAGGTGAAAATATCTGGAATGAGGAAAACAAAACAATATGGTGAACAAAAGGGATAAATTTTCAGGCATTTTGAGGGGTTGGAGCCAAAAGCTATTGCAGTGGTTAATTACAGTGAATGACAGTAGTGATCTATTCTTGCATGTTCTTGGTGTTGGGGTGGCAAAATGGGGAAAAAATTGAATACAGTAAATGTAGCATAAAAAGCAGCAACATGGATACTGTCAGTGTTTCCCAGGTACATCATCTTAGGAATGTGAGCACAAGAATAAAATATTAAATATTCTTTCTCTATCTATCTTTGTATATGAAATTACCCACATGCTGCGAAAAATTGTGACTTCCATTTAAGAAGAACATCTGTGTTTTGAGAGGATTGTCAGAAAATAGCTGGGATTTCAGAAGTAACAAAAGATAGTTCAATGAGCTATGTAATATAACTTACATATGTACGTTCAAGGAGTGTCTGTATGGTATGAAACAAGCAGAAATATCTGGCTGTGTTCATTAGAATATAGTTAATGATTGAGATTTTAGTCTTTTATGTTGTGATTATTGTAGAGAAATTGAATGACTTGCTTGAAGAATGTTGTTCTTATAATAACAGTAAGTAATTTGCTAGATAATCTGAAAATTCACACTGATGGGCTTCCTCCTGCATCCACATTCACCCACTGAGGGATCATTTGCTTTAAAGACAAAACTGGATTTTACTTGGTGATTAATACTGGGTTTTAGTGTTTTCTACAGATACATCCCTCACCTTGAGGCTATGTTGGGGCTAAAGCAGAGAGGAGAGGGCCAGAGGAGAATAAAGAGCAGTTCTGTTGGGTCTTCCTGTTTTGTTCTGACTGTAAGCCATATGTACTGCCACCCCCTACTGTCTGTAGGAAGAGGTGTTGCAGAGCCCCATTCTTTTCTTGTTATCACTGCCCCCTTGTGTAAGGGAAGAAATTGATAGTTGCACTTGGGAAAACCGCTCTCCTCCGATTGTTCTTGACAGGGTGATTATGTGGATCTATTAATGATCTATTCTTTTCAGAGTTGCAGGGCTTTAAACTTACTGTTAATCAGGCTTCAGATTTAATGTCTGTTTCTGATAGTATCTAATTTTAATCAGTAATTCAAATTGTCCAGAATGTTTTTAATATGTTTGGGAAGATGGAGTACTGTTACTAGAAGTACTAGTCGTAATAGCTCACCCTTATATAGCACTTACTCTGTGCCAGTCCCATTATACATGTTTTAATCAGTTTCAGCACCCTGTGAAGTATGTCCTGTTATTTACGTTTTACTGATGAGAAACGGAAACACAGAGATGTTCAATAACTTGCATAGGACAATCAAGAATCAGATTTAGCTGGCAAGTGGAAGAGTTGAGTTTCAATTCAATAAGTAAGTAGTAAGACACATAAATATTAAGCCTACAAATTTACCAAAAATACAGTTACTTCTAGTATGAACATTTCTCTTACGGGATTTACTTTTGTAATTTATCTCTGGGATTATGAGTAGAGGAGTATCTGTACTTTTTATGTGTTTAAGGACATATTTGTGATGGAGGTTGGTTTTGGGGGACTTTAGAGATAAAAAGTTACTTTCAAGTAATTTTGGGTGTGTGTGTGTGTACATAGTGTGCAATAAAGGTTTACTGGTGCTTTTAAAGAGAGAGTACACCACACACACACACAGATCTACATACCATCTCTTTAAAAGCACCAGTAAATCTTTATTGCTAACTTTCTCAAGGAAAATTGAGGAGAAATTGTCCATTTTTCCTGCTTATTCATACTTTTATGATCTATTTTATTTTAAAAAGTAACAAAAATGGATGATTGTGTATATTTTACCACTTCCATCAATAACCGTTGGCTCAGATTTTTGTCACACTTACACATTGTTTCATATATATTACATATGAAATTATATTTATAAAAATGTGTAAAGTATAAAGAATAATAGGGCCCCTGGGTGGCTCAGTCATTTAAGCGTCCAACTCATGATTTCAGCTCAGTTCATGATCTCAGGGTTGTGAGATGGAGCCCTGTGTCAGGCTCATGTGCTGGGTGTGGAGCCTACTTAAGATTCTCTCCCTCTTCCTCTACCCCTCCCCCCTAAAAAAAAGAAGAAAAAAGAATAACAATCGTCTCTTATACTTGTAACAATTATTTTCTTCTGTAAGCCAAACTTTCTGCCATTCTGTAAAGCTCATGTAATCAAATACTTCTTTCATTTTTATGTACATTTGTAGATAAGGGAATTCAGGATAATCTATTATGACTAAGACTTATTCAAGATGTATATTTATATACTTTGGTATATTTGTCATAGACTTAGGTCATGCTGTGTATTTTAGATTGGCTGATAGTTCCTTTTAGCATACTTCATTTATGAAACTAATTTGATGTTTGCATCTTTATCATAAAGTTTTACTAACATTATTAAACTTTTGATTATTTCCCTCTTCCGTGTTTGATTTTTGGACTGTCCCATGCTGGCTCTCTGGCTTTTCCCCATATTTGCCCATAAATGCCTTTGCTCTTTTCATATTTTCTGAAAGATTTTGCATGCATTATTTTGAATGGAGAAAAAAGTAAGCCTAGAAAGAAGTACAGTAATCTCCTCTTATCTGAGGCGGATACATTTCAAGACTCCCAGTGGATGCCTGAAACTATGGATAGTACTGAAACCTATATATACTGTTTTTTTCCTATGAGTACATACCTACAATAAAGTTTAATTTATAAATTGGGCATAATAAAAGATTAACAACAATAATAAGATAGAACAATTATAGTATATTGTAATAAAGTTATGAGAATGTGGTCTCTCCTCTCAGATTATCTTATTGTGCTGAATTCATTCTTGTGATGACTTCTTATCATTTTATCAAGATGATAAAATGCCTATGTGATGAGGCAATGTGATGTAGCCTTGGGTTACTATTGATGTTCTGACTATACATCAGAAGGAGGATTATCTGCTTCTGGAATGCGGGTGGATTAGCAGGGGACTACCATATACTAAGCCAGTACTAGTTCCGAAAGGGGAATATTAGGATAGTTGATTTTTTTTTTAGATTTTATTTATTTATTTGAGAGAGAGACACACACACAGAGCATGAGCAGGGGGGAGGGGCAGAGGGAGAGGGAGAAGCAGGCTCCCTGCTGAGCAGGGAGCCCAATGAGGGGCTCAATTTCAGGACCCTGGGATCATGACCCGAGCTGAAGGCAGACGCTTAACCGACTGAGCCACCCAGGCATCCCTAGGATAGTTGATCTTGATTAGATGTAAGGTAGAACAAGTGTGCATAATAGAAATGCATCAAAGTTCTCTCCTTGTCATATTTCTTCCTTTTACAATAGAATTAAAATTGAATTTCTGAGACCTAGTGATTGGGCATAGTAGTTGAATGTACTTACACAGAATCACCAATGTTAGCTGGAATATTTTTACTCATGGTTCCCAGATTTTATTTTAAGGAGCTAGAACAAGCTGTCGCAGATGGCTGTTTACTTTTCTAGTACTAGTTTGATCAAGGTAACAAATATAAAATAGTTTGGAAGCTAGTTTAATTATTTGGATTTTTTTTTCCCTTTGTGAATGAATTGAAACTCAGCATTGTCATATCTGCTGAGTGCCTGTAATTAACAAATACTATTATTTGGAGAGAAGGCACCATATAAATATACTGTATAAACAAACAGTCTTTGTTATAATACCATGAAAACTATCACCTGGTTTATTTGAATAGAATCTTTTTTTTTTTTAAGATTTTATTTATTTATTTGACAGAAAGAGAGATAGCAAGAGAGGGAACACAAGCAGGGGGAGAGGGAGAGGGAGAAGCAGGCTTCCGGCCGAGCAGGGAGCCCGATGCAGGGCTCGATCCTGGGACCCTGGGACCATGACCCCAGCCGAAAGCAGACACCTAATGACTGAGTGTTAGGTGCTCCTGAAGTTTTATTGGAATATGGCCATGCTCATTCATTTACATATTGGTTATGGCTGTTTTTTGTGTACAGCCACAGAGTTGGGTAGTTTCTATAGAGACCTACTAGCACACAAAACCTAAATATTTACTG